ATGTAGTGTCTCTGCAAATAGTGTGGGGTTTGCGTAATTGCGAGCATTTGGAAGGTCATTTATGTATAGGGAGGAAAGGAGAAATGAGGGCCATGGACACTTCCCTGTGGGACACCAACTGTACATTGGTTGTGCAGAAGAGTTTGCCCCATTGGTACACATATTGGCTTCTGTTGCTGAGGTAAGACTTGAGATAGGTGAGGGAGTGTCCTTCTTATACCTTAGTGTGACAATTTACGTGGAGCAAGTCATGGTCAACTGTATCAAAAGCTTTTTACGTAAGTCAATGAAGTTCACAGTGGGACTTCTTTTTTCTCTATTGCAGTGTATATATGTTCTAGCATGTGTATAATAGCTCATTAGTATTTTTATAGGCCTCTGAATCCAAAATTGGCAGGGAGTTGAGTATGTTTTGTGAGATAAGTAGGAGTAGTTTCGTTTTGAATTAATTTTTCGAAGATTTTTGAGAGTGGGTGTAAGGTGGAATATTGGCCTATAGTTATTCAAACTCTGTTTGGTTCCTCCTTTTGATGGAACGGGGTGACCCTTGTATTGGAGTACTGTAGGGAAGGTTGGGAGGATTCAATGGATTTGTTAAAAGAGTGTTGCAATGATTGGTGTTAGCCACTTGTGACACTTTTTTTGTATAATATGGGTGGTAGTATTTAAATCTCCTGCCTTGTTTTTTAGTGCGTGATATTAAGGGAGGACTTAATATGGGGTTAGTCGGAGCTAGTAAACAGTGTGTTCGGGGGATGTTGCCGGTGAAGGGTAGTCATTTGGTGTGCGGTATCTGAGCTTGGATTTTATTGGGCAAGGTTTTGTTCCTTAGTGAGAAGAAATCATTGAGTTGTTTGATGTTTCTGTTGGTGGGAGTTGGGTTCATCTGGTTTTTGCTTATTTTATTTCGCTTATTTCGTGATATCGTTTTTTGTTCCAGAATTTCTGATTGGGTTTTCCAGGTCTTTTTTATATAACCTCGTAAGTTGGGTAATCTGTTCTCATAATACAATTTTTTTGCCCTCTTATCAGGCTGGTTTATGTGATTGACGAGTAACGTTTTGGGTTTGGTCTCTGGTTAGGGACCCCATTCTGTACTGTTTTTCTTATGGTGTTTTGTATTTATGGTATTTGAGATTGCTGGGTGTTAGCCAGGGACTGTTCGTCTCTTTGCTTGTCATCTGTTTAGTTTTTTTAGGACAGTGTTGTTATAGAGGTATTGGGTTTTTTTTCCTTAGGAAAAGTATTAATTCATGCGGCAATATCAGTATAGGTTTCTAGCTCAGTGTGCCATCAATTTTTGCTATTGCTTGTTGTGTTGTTAATAATGGCCTGCCTCATTGTGAAGTCTGGAGAGGTGACGTTAGTGTGTATTGGGGTAGTTTACAAGAGTTGTTATGAGGAAAGTTAGGGTAGTGGTCTGTGGTTTTATCTGTAATTATGCCTGATTTTAAAAGGGGGTTATGTTGTTGGTCCAGATGTTGGTCAAGTAGGGGGAAAACACTAGTCTCTGTTAACTTTGTAGTTTGTTACTGTGGGTAGTAACATACCAGTTACTCATTGTGTTTGTGAATTCTGTAACGTGTGGTTCCTGGTCTTGCAGGAGATTTATATTGAAGTCACCTGGGAAGTAGTAAGGGATCTTTGTTCATGCGTGCATCAGTTATCATACTTCCGAGATTTTGACTAAATTGGTTAATGTTTGATGTTGAACCTGTAGCAGATGTTTAATCAATGTTGAGAGAGGGTTTTTGTGGTACTTTGTTTGAATTTAGCTATTATAGATTCCCATGTCATCCCTTGTGCATGTATTAGTGATACATTCTAGTGGGTTGTGTGTATATAGCCTCGTGCCACCCCCTTGTTGATCTGGCCTACTGTTGTGTATGGCTGTGTAACAGGAATGGCATGGCATTGTACTATCAGGCTTTAGCCAGGTTTCAGATAGTGTAATGATGGACATATTGGCATGTAAGGAATTTAGTAATGCTATGAGGTCATTGTAATGCTTGCTTAAAAGATCTGATATTGAGTTTTAATATAGTTATGTTGTTGTTCGGCACTGAGAAGTCCTTTGATGGTCTGCGTGTAGTAATACAGTTCTGTTTGATTCATTTAAGTCATTAAATAAGAGGTTGGTATCAGGTCAATGCTTGTAATCATAAGATTTGTAGTGAATCTATAGTTTGAAATTTGTATAAAACAAAGTAAATAGCTCTTAAGCTAAAATTATAGCACCTGGATGATGTAAACAAATGTAAATTTAATGAGCTAAGGGACTAATACAAATAAAGTGAGGATTCAAATAGTGGAGCTTGGGAATTGATCTAGTAGGTAGTACTATAAAGGTAATTTTTTTTTAAAGTTAGAATTATAGTATAAAAATTATAATTAAAAAAGGGGAACTAATACAGGTTGTGGTGAACAATAAAGTGGTAATCAAAATAAATGAGCTTTGGAATAGCATGGCAAAATTGTGAACTTATTCTACTTAGCACCCATTGATTATTTTACAATTGTGAATATATAAAACTGGATAGTTAGATAAAGCTAAAATAATGGAGGAAAACATATAAGGGACTAAAATTAAGTAATGGTAAGCAAAGTTAAATGGGCAGATGGTAGGAATTATAATATAAACTTATAATATAAAAATACAATTTGAAATGGTACTTGCAATTGCACTAGAGTCTGGTATATGTTGTTGACAAGATCAAGATTATACCTAGATTTAAATTGACAAAATAAAATTCACAATTAAAGTACCAAAAGAATAATAGTAAAAAAATAACAATGGTAATGTCTTGATTATAATATGATAGTAAGAGGGTAGACAGGTACACAGGTACAAGGGATAATATAAAGGTTGGGGTTGAATATAAAAACTTGAAAATTTAGCTACAAAATGTTATGAGAAGTATAAAATAATGTTTAATGTACAAAATTAAAATTGACTGGTAGTAAATATGGTGTTTAATAAAATTTTAGAAGTAATAATGATTACAAAAAGTGAAAAAGTAATGTTTATTTCATTCAATATTGCACTGGTAGTTATACTTGAGGTTATATGGCAGTACAAGGTAATTAAGAGTAATCTAGGATAGTAAATGTGGCATTAAAACAGGTAAAGGTAATTAGACAAGTAATGGTTATTAAATGTCAAAATTGTTTAAGAGTAAATTGAAATTTTAGTAAAATTGATATATATTTAATTTTAGTAAGTAATATCAATTGATAGTATTTAAAAAAAAATATGAGGTAGTAATATGGACAGAGAAAGTATCAATTCAGCTAATGTTTAAGCGAACAATAGTAAATAACAAAATCACATAAGGTGACCTATGCTTACTAGTAAAATCACAAATTGAGGTAGTTGATTATTTAATTACTAAGAGATTGTACAATGAAATTTGAACAATAATGGAGCAAAACGTACACTACACTACGTAGGCTTTTTAGTTGGACATTGTTTAGTTATTCTCTGTAAGATTGGTATCCCTGAGAAATCGTGATAGATCATTCTCGTTCGTGATTGTGTACAGTTCAATGTCGATCTGTTACCCTGAACCTCTAAGGCTGTCATTATGCTCAGTATCGATGTGATGAGGTGAACATTGTCCTGTGGTTGAGGATGGGAGAGGGCATTGATTGCAGAGGTGGAATCAACATGTATGACAGGTCGGAGTCGATGTCGTAGGGCATGTGACAGTGCCTGCTGAATCGCCACCAGCTCAGCTTGAAGGATCGTGCAGTGGTCAGGGAGTCGCCAGCCTTGTGTGTGACCATTGTGGTACAGTCCAGCTTCTGCTCTCTTTCTGTCAAGGTCGACAGAACCTTCTGTGGAATACACTGCACATGTGCGTCCCTCTGCCAGTGCCATGCTTGTCTCAGCATGATTGCTGAGGGTGTCTTGACTCCAGAGACGCTTAGAGATAGGCAGTTGAAGATTGAGACACTTATGCAACAATCGGAATCTTTATTCAGGAAACGTTTCGCCACACAGTGACTTCATCAGTCCAATACAAAGCAGAAAGTGTAAGGAGAGGAGGAGTTTGAGGTAATCAGTCCCTTAGCCTGGAGTCGATGTGTTCAGTCCATCAATCTTGTATGGACTGAACACATCGACTCCAGGCTGAGGGACTGATTACCTCAAACTCCTGATCTTCAACATTCACCTTTGTAATAAAGTTGGTAGAATTACCGACAATATGTAAAGTAAAAGGACACAAGTACAACTAATGTGACATTTTTATTGTGACAACGTTTCGCTCTCCAGGAGCTTTATCAAGCCATAACGGCTTGATAAAGCTCCTGGAGAGCGAAACGTTGCCACAATAAAAATGTCACATTAGTTGTTCTTGTGTCCTTTTACTTTACATTCTCCTTTGTATGGACTGATGAAGCCACTGTGTGGCGAAATGTTTCCTCATTAAAGATAACCAAATTTTGCACACGTGTCTAATTTATTAACTTGTTGATTCTCTGAACCATTCATCTACATACCTACTTACTGCTAAGTGAATAGTGACAATAGGTTTAAGGTGACAAACACCCAGGTGAACAGGGACAGCAGATTTAAGGTGACTAACACCCAGGTACCTACTTACTGCTAAGTGAACAGTGACAGCAGGTGTGAGGTGACTAACACCTAGGTACCTACTTACTGCTAGGTGAACAGGAACAGCAGGTATAAGGTGACTATGCTAGGTGAACAGGGATATCAAGTGTAACGAAATATGTTACCAGAAATGCTCAGCATAACAAGGAACTTTCTATATAGTAGTATGTCATTGATGTCAACTATGGTCTGTATAAGTTGTATCATGTACTGGTAGAAATAGAGATTATTGTTACTGTAATGTGTCCACTCATCAAGGAATCGAACACTGGTCCTCCAGTGTGTTAGCCGAGGCCGCTGCCAACTGAGCCACGAGGATACATCCCTCACACCCCCTATAAACCACACATTCTTCTCCACTAACACAACGGTTAATTTCCAGAGTTACAGAGGCGAGATGATTGTGGAGGTGTTGCTGTTAGTGTTCCTGGCTCTCCTTGCTGTCTATTTCTTCCACAAACCTGCTAAAAATCTTCCTCCAGGTATGTATACATGATGCTTAGCATATATACACCCAAGGTGGAGTTGAATGATAGCTCTAGGCCTTTTGTGTTAGTCAACACATCATCAGGAGCTTGCAATGTTATCTCTAGGCCTTTCATGTTGCAATCAACACATCATCAAGAGCTTGCAATGTTAGCTATAGGCCTTTCGTGTTGCAATCAGCACATCATCAGGAGCCTGCAATGTTGCAGAAGTAGGAAGGAAGACCAAGTGTGTATGTACTGAAAATTATATTTCATAGGTATGTGCTTCTAGGTAGGTGATCATTACGACATAATAGGGAGTGTAACTACATTGTGGGTGCAACCAGTGATACTGTATTAGGAGTCAGTAGATGCAGATAGTTTGTTTTTGTAGCACATCTTTCAAATAAAGAATATATGAGTGTATAAGGTCAGGTGGTGAGGCTCATGACTGGAACCTTCGTGGCATGTGCTTACGTACAGTACCCATGTAGCGTTGGTACCTTAAGCTTGAGAAGAAATTGATGCTAGTAGCAGATTGTTATGTTGTAGTGGGTTTTTTAAGTGTGTATAAAAGTTTTTCCTCCATGGTTATAACTGTGAACATAACTTTTAAAGGGGTGGAGGGGTAAGCCAGCGGAAGGCCTCGGTCAGATAACCAAAAGCTCCAACAGTAGGTCATCATCTAAGACCAGCGTCAGGAAACACCTGTTTCCTGACGAATTTTACCTAACCTAACCTCCATGATTTACAGTGTTACCAGTCACGTTATATTAAATTTGCATTGTACTATAGGCTTGTACTTGTATTTAAAATATTATTGAAGAATGAGTCATGAATTAGACACATGTGCAACATCTGGGTATATTTAAAAATACCCAGATGTTACACATGTGTCTAATTCTTTAAAAAATATGTTGGTTTAAAAATTAGACACTAGCCTACCAGTACATTGAAAATTTATTCGAGAAATTGGAGACAAGTCTTCAAATGATATTAAAGTTAATTCATCTAGGCTTTATAGATAATCTGAAACTTTTACAATAGGCCTATGTTGAATTTCATTCCTAGAAATTGTTTTGATCATAGTAGTGTGGGTTATGAATTTTTCCAGCCACGATATTATAGGCCACTTAAGAATGGTTCCAGACATTATATTGTAGGCCACTTAAGAATGGTTCTAGACACGATATTGTAGGCCACTTAAGAATGGTTCCAGACACGATATTGTAGGCCACTTAAGAATGGTTCCAGCCACGATATTGTAGGCCACTTAAGAATGGTTCCAGACACGATATTGTAGGCCACTTAAGAATGGTTCCAGCCACGATATTGTGGACCAGTTAAGCTGTATAATCCTCCGGGTTTAGCGCTTCCCCCTTGATTATAATAATAATAATGTGGACCAGTTAAGAATGGTTCCAGGCACGATATTTTAAGTCACTTAAGAATGGTTCCAGACACGATATTGTAGCCCACTTAAGAATGATTCCAGTCACGATATTATAGGCCAGTGAAGAATTGTACCAGACACGATATTGTAGGCCAGTCAAGAATTGTTCCAGACACGATATTGTAGGCCACTTAAGAATGGTTCCAGACACGATATTGTGGGCCAGTTAAGAATGGTTCCAGACACGATATTGTAGGCCACTTAAGAATGGTTCCAGTCACGATATTATAAGCCAGTCAAGAATTGTCCCAGACACGATATTGTAGGCCAGTCAAGAATTGTTCCAGCCACGATATTGTAGGCCAGTCAAGAATTGTTCCAGCCACGATATTGTAGGCCAGTTTAGAATGGTTCCAGCCACGTTCTTTGATTTCTATTGTTCTGCACTAGTACATGTACAATGTATCTGTAATAATATCACAGTAAACAGGTGATATCAAAATACGTTAAATAACCATAGTGAAAAATAGTGCAATTCTAATCACTTTCGTGATTTCTCACATTATCAAGGAATAGTAGAATATATATGTGTATAATATATGTCTTTCAGGACCCTTCAGTTTACCTATCATTGGGAACCTAAAACTTCTTATGGTCGCAGAGGACGTTCGTAAACTCCGTAAGACATATGGGGACATCTTTAAGTGAGTACGCAGTTTCATGTTTATGTAATACAGTATGTGTTAAGATTTGTTGGGATTTTAAGGGGGCAGTCAGGCAATGAATTTTTTTTTTGGGGGGGAGGGAGGTTTACTGTCCGATTTTCCTCCAGTTTTGGTGCACAAGACAAAGTGTTTTCACTCTTTCTTGAAAAGACTGAAAAATGACTGATTTACTGAAAATGCCCTTGCGGGGCGATTTATTCCTTTATGGGACGACGTAAGGTTGTTTGGACACTTGGTGCCGAGAGAACAATGCTAATACGAATTTTCTTCGGGACCTTTCCTCTAAATAACTTATCTTTATTTCACAAAAAAATAAAGTTTGTTCTTGGAATGTTGCAAAAAATCTGCCCTTTACTCCCACATAAATCCCAAAATATTTGGAATATTTCCAAAATGTGCCATCAGAAATTAGAGAAATCATTATTCTACAATTTCTGTGAATATTATTCCATTTAACTAAGTAATAAAGGAAGAAATAGGTACGTTAGGTGAATAAGTTACTTCCGAGATATTGGCCTGGAACGCCGGTCGGCCCACCGTCTCGAAAGAAAAAAAAAATAGCGAAAATCGCGTTTGTTTGGGTGTATTTCTTAGTAAACTGATGTTCTAGTGCAGTTATCCTCTTCAAAACACCGTTTTCTCTTACTCAAAGACGAGATGGAGAGGAGTAACTAATTTATATCGAAATATTCCCGATGGTCTCTAGCCATATTATGGCCTATTTTATTCAGTCTAGAGTATATAACATGTTAGTATGTTATTTATAGTGTTTTTTAAATCATGTTAGATAAATTCTGATAGATAAATAAGCCGTATAGTGTATATATAAGTTGATATAAGCGTAATAATGAAGTGATTTCTCCTGGCACTCTGGATCGAGAATACTGCCCAGTGTTCCCAGATGGTTCCTGTTTGGCTGGCATTCTACGGAAAAGCTCCGCCTATTCTTATATGATGCCAAATAGTCAGTTATTATATTAGAAAGAGTAATGCAAGAAAAAGCTATAAAAAAAACAAGGAAAAAATTCCAAAAAATATATGGGCTGTGAGCAGACGCGCTACCCATATCGCTGTCACCATACCTGATATAAATGACTATAATTTCCTGTAGAAACGTCGTAGAAGATTGATTCTTGTACCATTGGGTTGCCAAAGAGTTATGCTATTTTTCTGTTTTATAAATATTTATAAATAACTCAATTTCCATAATTTTTCGATTGTTTTTGAGTTTTTTGAGAGCGCGCGGAGAATTGCCTGACTGCACCCAGAGGATTAGCCACCCAAGGTAACCTGGAAAGTCAGTGCGTCATTGAGGACTGTCTTATTTCCATTGTGGTCCTTTAATCTTGTCCCCCAGGATGCCACCCACACCAGTCCACTAACACCCAGGTATGTACCTACTTACTGCTAGATGAGCAGAAACAGCAGGTATAAGGAAACATGCACAACGCTTCCACCCGTGCCGGGGATTGAACCACAGACACTGGCTTGATGAATAAGACAGCTAGAATAAAATCCACAGACTTATCAGAGCTGAATTTTACCCCCGTTAGTTGTTCAGACCAAAAAAAATATTAACTTTTCTAGGTTATCCTAGGTAATTTACACTGATAATTGTACTCGTGTGTACCAAAGCCAGAGCGAATTTGCTATGAAATTAATACTAATGAAGCCTAATCCCGCCCTGGATTGTATACCATTGTTATATTCAAACACAACCTTGTCCACGAAAGTTGCCTCATTGCAGAGTGAGAGCTGGATGTGTAGATATGACTTTCATCTGTGACTTTAAACTGGTGAAAGAAGCTTTTTCCAAGATAGAATGTACTGATCGTCCCCACTGGGAGCCCTTTCATTTCCTTACTGATGGAAAGGAATCAGGTTTGTAACTTGCTTGTTTATACATTACTGTCTCCTTCCATTTATTTATTTATTTATTTATTTATTTATTTATTTATTTCCAATTTGTGAATTAGATACACGTAAGCAAGACTTTGTTGAGACAACGTCATATGGAGAAACATATGACGATGTTTCGGTCTGACTTGGACTATTTACAAGTCACACTAACACACGAGGGTGAAGGAGACAGTATATATAGGAGAGAGAAACAGGGACGGTACAAAGAGAGGAAGGAAGAATGAAGTGGAAAAGTAACAGTAGAGGTAATGCTGGTAGTGAAAATTGTAGTAGTAGTAGTAGTAGTAGTAAGTAGGGGAGAAGTGGAAGACGTGTGACTAGTCACTGTGGTGAAACATTTCCTCAGTAAATATCCTCATCAGTGCACACACCTTTTATCTACACCTTATCGCTATCACCTTACCAATGTATATGATATATTTTTAGATGAGCGGAGGGGTAAGCCAGTAGAAGGCCTCGGTCAGAAGACCAAGAGTAAATTTATTTGGGCACAGGTACACATACTCAATTATGATGTATACAGTGACACTAGCCTTCACAATGCAACATTGTATTATTCTCTCTGCAACTCAAGTGTAATATTGACCAGTGATTGTATTCTCCCTACAACCAGGCGTGATAATGACTAATGGACAACATTGGCAGAATGCACGAAGGTTCTTGCTACGTAATCTGAGGGACCTGGGGATGGGAAAATCTTATCTGGAGGTTCCCATACAGGAGGAGGCACAGATGCTGGTCAATGATTTCCGGAAATATGATGGCAAGGCAGTTCCTCTGCCCAACTCTATTAACATAGCAGTTCTCAATGTTATCTGGCAACTTGTGGCAAGTAGGTTTAATGATTTTTTTTTTCATAATTTATATTCCTTTCTAAGGTGAGGTGGGTTGAAGTTGGGGAAAGGCTCATGATTTTAAGTATTGGAGTCACTCTCCTCTCCGGATTGAATCTGATTGTATAAACCCCCTACGGGTTTTATGCAATAGGGAAGTTTATTTAAGTACAGGTACACATAAGTACAATTACACAATTTTAGATGTGTAGAATTATCATACAAAGTCAAAGTGACTTATTTGCATCAGGATATTTACACTAATAAGTGTGTATCTCTCAGTGAGGATACCTGGAGTATACCTGGAGGGTATATATACAGTACACTGACCCCTCAGAGGAGGTTCCTTGATGCTGGTGAGGGGTTCTTGATCTAGGAAATTAGATCTGTGCTCCAGTTTCCTGAATTAAGCCTGAATACCTTCCATCCCCCCACAGGCACTATATAATCCCTATGGGTTTAGCACTCCCCTATGATTATAATAATAAAAGCACACTGACAGAAGTATGTCTTCCATTGTATACACACTGAGTGTTCACCTCAATCACTGTTTAAGGCATTAACATATTCATAATTAGTGGTGACATCTTGTCTTAATGACTCGATGCAATTCAGTGTAAAAATCAAAATTTGTTTATTGGACCTGAATAAAAAGAGACTTAAATAAGCTTTAAACCTAATTGCACAATGACCCATGTAGGTTCAGAGCTTTTTTTTTATTATAATTTGAGCCTAATAGCCCAGCATCTGCACCTAGGCCTATACAGCTCAAGGCATCACAGCCCTTACAGTCAATAACAACACAACGACTCCCTTCAACAGTCGCCCTATAAACCAACAACAACAAGTGGGATGTATTTCTCTTACAATATAACATTACCCAGGACTGAGAGGATGTTATATTCATGGGAGAGCAGTAAAACCGTGGGGGTCATACAGCACCAAGGGGTAATCATAGCCAATCAGGTTCGATCCAAGGAAGGGGAGAACAGGTCCAGGTCCTTCACTCCTAAGTTTATTTAGACACAGGTACACGTAAGTACAATTATTACTTATAATAATCATATATAATAGTAGCGAACCCTATATATAAGGAGAGTAAAATTTCACAAGTGCAACTAATGTGACATTTTATTGTGGCAATGTTTCGCTCTCCAGGAGCTTTATCAAGCTGTTATAAACAATACATGGACACAGAGAGGAATTGACAAGGTGGACAAAGACAGGATGTTCCAGAGATTGGACACAGCAACAAGGGGACACAGTTGGAAGTTGAAGACACAGATGAATCACAGGGATGTTAGGAAGTATTTCTTCAGCCACAGAGTACTCAGGAAGTAGAATAGTTTGGGACGAGATGTAGTGGAGGCAGGATCCATACATAGCTTTAAGCAGAGGTATGATAAAGCTCACGGTTCAGGGAGAGTGACCTAGTAGCGACCAGTGAAGAGGTGGGGCCAGGAGCTTGGACTCAACCCCTGCAACCTCAACTAGGTGAGTACAGAGGACTTCTGCGTCAGCCTTCGTCGGGTGTGGACTTCTCTCTCTCGCCTGAGTATCAGTGACAAATTTCCCCCTTCTCTCTGGGACACTTGTCATCTATTTTGCCTGCTGGGCACTCTACAGGAGGGGCACCTGTTCATCGGCTTACTTTAGCCAGTTCCACTTTTTTTCCGTTCTGCGGAAAATTCTTTAACGGTCTTTGGTGGGCAGCTGATTACTGAACTCAGGTGGGAGTGTGGGCATCCCTCTCTGCTGGGGCTTGGGAAGGGGGTCCACCGAATTTAATTGGAAGCTTCAAGTCTTAAGGAAACACGTCCTAATGTTTCCACCCATACTGGGGATCGAACCACGGACCTCAATGTGTGAGCTGAGTACACTACCAATCAAGCTATGGAACACCTTGTAGCTGTTGCCTGTGTTATAGACAAAGTCAGATGATGTACCACAAAATCTTGCAAACTTAACAGAAACTGTGGAACAAGACACTTATGTACAGGTCAGGACATTTAATAATAATAATAATAATAATAATAAAATCATATTTTATTTCAGCATGATACAATGGTAGTACAAAAGAGAATGACTGACAGGTGTATATGCCAAAAGCCCCTGTATATGCAGAGCATTTCGGGCAAACTTAACACTAACTTATCAATCAATCAAGTTTATTCTCTATAAGGATTACAATGTGGGATTTACAGATTTTGGATATTGTGTGGTTTATATGTTTTAAAATACTAATTACAGAGGGGGCCACTAGGGCACCTAGCATGGCTAGGCATTTCGGGAAGACTTAGATTAATTCTAAACTCTAAATTATTAGAGATTATGGTATTAAGGCTAAGTGACTACATTATGGTTTGTGAGTTTAGCAATGTGAATGCTTTTGTTTTGGCACAATACATAGTGTCTATATTGGAGTATCATAGGCAAACTTATGGCTAGTTAGGATTCATTATTTTAAGATTTAGATTCGTATTTCTGTGTTTATAGTCAATGGGTGAGTGAGTGTAATTGTGAACCACCAGGTGGTTATCGTGTAGTTAGTTGTCGGGGTGTATCAGGGAGATGAGATGTTTTCTAACCAGTTTTGAAAGTGATGAATGTGTCTGCAGTTCTAGAGTTTTCAGGTAGGGTGTTCCAGATTTTAGGGCCTTTGACACACATTGAATTTTTGTAAAGGTTTAGTCGGACACGGGGAATGTCATAGAGATGTTTGCGTCTGGTGTTATGCCTGTGGGTCTTGTCACAACTATCAAGAAAGCATTTTAGGTCAAGGTTAATATTGGAATTTAAGGTCCTGTAGATATAGATTGCACAGTAGTAAGTGTGGATTTACTGAACAGAGAGTAAGTTTAGATGTATGACGAGTAGGGGAGGGTGTTGCCAGGGATGGGATTTAGTGATTATTCTTACTGCGGCTTTTTGTTGGGTTATTATTATTAAGATTAAGAGGGCAGTACTAGTACTGAGGAAGCCACATTGCCTATAATAAATGTCCTGAGCTGTACATAAGTGTCTTTTTCCACATCTTGTCAGTATCAACATACCAATTCTCACCACAGAAATTCACTTTCGTGGCCTCACTGACAGAGATCAAAACTGAGCTTAGTAACATTATAACGTGTGTAAGATAAGAAATTTATACAGAAAGTAGATAGGGAACTGTATAATACATAAAGAGTTCCAAGTTACTTTCATGTATGAATACTGTATGCTCCTACATGATGTATGAATTCATGGGCTTTAATGCAGAATTGAATTATGTGTAATTAGTATTATTTCTTTAGCTCAATGGTCTGTAACAATTGATTCACTCCTAAGTATCATTTTATTGCTAAGTAACAATGGCAGCAGATATTTTGAGTCGAATATGTTCAAGTCCATGTGAGAATTAGAATTCAAGTTTATTTTCACATGATACATTACAAATACAGGAATGGGCAAGTGAATGTAGATCTACACTTGGACATTTTAAAGGTTATGCCTAACATAATACAACAAGGGCAATAAACAATACATGTGTGTTTTTAGTGAAGTCTTCGTCTCTTAGTGACCTTGGTAGGCCACTGGTATCATATTTAACTCTTTCAGGGTCAAGAGGCCAAATTTCAAAGTGTGCACCAGTGTCCAAGAATTTTCAAAAAATATTTTTTTATTATTTTTCTTATGAAATGGTAGAGAACCTTTTTCTGAAGGTAATAAAACAAAAAGTAAAAAATTTGATGGAAAATTGACGAAATTATGCTCTCGCGAATTTTGATGTGTCAGCGATATTTACACATCGGCTATTTTGCCAAATTTGACTCCCATTTTAGGCCAATTACATTATTCCAGTCAACCAAATTCTTAGCTATTTCACTAGTATTACTTCTATTCTATCGATTGAGCACAAGAATTCACCAAGTCAACTGTTTTAACTACAAAATAAAGTGATCAGAAATTGGTAATTTGGCCAATTTAATGCAAAGTTCAAAATACTCCATTTTCAAAATAGGGTCCAGAATAAACAATGCAGACATTCCTGGCACTAAACTAACATTTCTTCTGTTCATAAGTTATGTTTTCAGACTTTACTAATGAATTCTATTTTGATTTTTTTATTCACATAATGAATTTTTATTCAGACCAAAAAATAGAAGATTTACTATTATACAATATTGTAATAATTGCATAAATAATATCACCACATTTGTGAACATATATTAGACCTACCAGCAGGTGTGTATTAGACGTGTGAGGTCATTTGTTTACTCTTGAACATCGGCAAAAATTTAACATTTCCATTACTTTGAGCTCAATTTCAAGCCATTTCCAGTACTAAAACCAATCAAGATCATCTCTATTTCTGTAATATATCTTCCATTCTATCAAATGAGACCAAGAAATTGCAAATACAACTATAAAAAACATACAAAAAACACTGCAAAGTCACTGTTTTAATAAAAAATTACGGTCTCAGTTTTTTCTCTCATTATGCACTATGTGGTGCAGGATTTGTTTTATGTAGTGCACACATACCACATAGATGTATTCTCTCATATCTAGGCCAAAATTTACCACTCACAGCTTACCAGAGTGAGCTGAGCTCATGACATAGATCTATGGTTTGGACCCTCAACGTAAAGCCATAGATCTACGGCATGGACCCTGAAAGGGTTAAAAATGCAGCAAAAAATATCTTGTTTGTAATAATATTCTCTGTTTTCCTGAGGTTTTAAGTGGTTAATCAAATTTTAATTGTACACACTTTATTTCTAATCTTATGTTATTTGTTTCCTTAGGTCGTCGCTATGAGCTGGATGACAAGGACATCACTTCCTTTATTGCACTCATAAAATCCTTTCAAGAAGACATGAATCCTTTTCTTCCAATCTTCTTTCCTATACTAAATTATTTCCCAAGATTTCTCACAAGAAAGCTTCTTAAACTTGATTTATTAGACAAGGTTAAACAGAATGCCTTGAGACTCATGGGGGTAAGTCTGGACAGCACTTTAAAGGAGGGGTTTGGGATATTGGCAGTTTGGAGGGATATGTTGTGTATCTTTATATGTTTATGCTTCTAGACTGTTGTATTCTGAGCACCTCTGCAAAAACAGTGATAATGTGCGAGTGTGGTGAAAGTGTTGAATGATGATGAAAGTATTTTCTTTTTGGGGATTTTCTTTCTTTTTTGGGTCACCCTGCCTCGGTGGGAGACGGCCGACTTGTTGAAAAAAAAAAAAAAAAAAAAAAAATGGGTATTAAGTCACATATGTAGAATAAGCTTTTATCAGGTATGTTTAGCTCACGATAAAGCAAAATTTAGTTCCTTTAAAAAAAAAAATTGCATATTTTCTATATTTATGTAAATGAGTTGTTTGTTTTAGGGAACAATTCAGTATTACAGTAGTTGTTATGATTCACAAATGGGTAGTTTGCAAGCTGCAAAATGTTCACATGTGACACTTTGCAGTTTCTTTTGCACTTATAAATTAATTTAGAGTATCAGACTCTCCATGCATCTGGGAAAAGTGTCTGGAAGAGTTTCATTTTAGCGCCCTAAATTGTTAGACTTTGTCTACGTATATAAAATAATGTATATTGTCTTTGTCCATCTGAACTTAAACTTTGCTGTGCATCATCTACCAACAAGAATTACCATTCATTTTTTCTAATATACATTACTTTACAGCACTCAAATTGCTCATGTACATAGAGTACTATTTGCATCATTCTCAACTAGTGGACAAGACTTAACAACAACATGGTAAAAAGAGGCAAGACATATAGAGCAAATTCTTATTTATAAACTATAATTGGCTTTAGGAAGAGCCTTTTAAAGATCTACTTAGCCTGGAACATCATGTGTTTATGATGCACAAATAACCCGCACATAGCAGAAAGAAGCTTATGATGATGTTTCAGTCCAACTTTGGACCATTAACTTGACACAATGATGTTAATGGTCTCAGTTAGTCCAAAACATCATAAGTTTCCCTCGATGTGTATTGTTCCAGTCATGGTATTGTGATTTTTAATTCTTTATGTTTACATTGGTTTGCTCTCCGTATAGTGTCTTTTAACCATCTTTCCAACTGGCCAAATTAGGTTTGGTTTTTGGGCTTGCTTAAAGTAATTTCAGATGTATTGCATAGACCATTTGACACAAACTTCTGAGTACAGTAGTCCCCCCCTTATCCACGGGGGGTTACATTCCAAGACCTTCCTTGGATACCCGAAACCATGGATAGTAGCGAACCCAATACTATATAAGTCATCTTCTGTTTACTCACATACTATGATAAAGTTTAATTGGTAAATTATGCACAGTAAGTGTGAATTGCTCATTACTCTAAAATTTGTTCACGATTGCAGCCATGTATACACGTAAGTAACCATTCTTACAGTATTCATTACCTTTGTAACTTGTGAATTCATTACCTTGTACCTAGTTCAGCCATCAAAACTTTGGAGCCCGGTCCCTGGACCCATTGTGCACCTCTGTAATCTGTAAATACCTTTGTAACTTGTCATGATTGTGACTAGACCTACCTGGAGTTCATTACCTTTGTAAATTGTGAGTTCATTACCTTTGTAAATTGTGAATTCATTACCTCTGTAACTTGCTCAGCTATCAAAACTTTGAGGCCCAGTCCCTGGACCCATTATGTACCTCCCCCACTGGATGGGTATGGGGTGCATAATAAACATATTAAACTAACTAAAAGTGGAGAATTGGCATTTTTTTACTGCCAATTGTCCGTTTATTGTGTGAAGCACTTCAGGGCTTCTCATAGTCTTCGAAGAAGTTCCAACATCACTACTTTTGCACTTTGAGGCCATTATTAAGCAAAATTAAGGGTTATTTTTGGGCCATGGTAAACCGTGAATAACTGAAACCGCAGATACCAGTCCCGTGGACACAGGGTCCTACTGTAATTCAGTTCCTTTCATAATTTTTTTTTCCAGGGTATTATAGAGTCTCACAAAGCCAAATTGGACCCCAGCAATCCACGTGACATCATCGATGAATATCTTCTCGAGATGAACAAGAAAAGTGACATTGCTTCATTTTTCAGTGGTATGTATAGCCGAGGAGGATTCCAACTCTGGTGACTTAGCACTTTCATATTTACCTTCAATCCATATTTTTCATGTGATGATGTGAGAGTTATGTGCCGTTCTAGCTTCTCTTCAATTGCAGTTGTACATTTATTTTGAAAAAGACTACAGGTCCTCCATCACAAATCCATCATCATTGGGACCTGTAGTGTGCCAGATTACTGAGTTTGCCGGATTACAGAGTGGTTAGGTTAGAATACACTTAATAAAATTAACCAACTTGACTTACACAAAGTTCATTGAACATCGACAAAAATCGAACATTTCTGCTACTTTGAGCTCAATTTCAAGGTACTTTTCGTCATGAAAGCAATCAAAATCATGTCTATTTCTGTAATATATCTTCCATTCTATCAAATGAGTCCAAAAAAATGAGAATACAACCATAAAAAACATAAGAAAATATACTGCAAAGAGGCGGCTAATGGCCGAGAGGTGAACTCCCTTATTTATCGTCCGTCTTTTTTATTTTTGTTGTACGTTGAGAAGCATCTTTCCATCATACGTTACCCAAGTTTCAATGAGATAGCCCAACAAACAACCAAGAAAAAAATTATTTTTATTATTATTATCACACTGGCCGATTCCCACCAAGGCAGGGTGGCCCGAAAAAGAAAAACTTTCACCATCATTCACTCCATCACTGTCTTGCCAGAAGGGTGCTTCACACTACAGTTTTTAAACTGCAACATTAACACCCCTCCTTCAGAGTGCAGGCACTGTACTTCCCATCTCCAGGACTCAAGTCCGGCCTGCCGGTTTCCCTGAATCCCTTCATAAATGTTACTTTGCTCACACTCCAACAGCACGTCAAGTATTAAAAACCATTTGTCTCCATTCACTCCTATCAAACACGCTCATGCATGCCTGCTGGAAGTCCAAGCCCCTCGCACACAAAACCTCCTTTACCCCCTCCCTCCAACCTTTCCTAGGCCGACCCCTACCCCGCCTTCCTTCCACTACAGACTGATACACTCTTGAAGTCATTCCGTTTCGCTCCATTCTCTCTACATGCCCGAACCACCTCAACAACCCTTCCTCAGCCCTCTGGACAACAGTTTTGGTAATCCCGCACCTCCTCCTAACTTCCAAACTACGAATTCTCTGCATTATATTCACACCACACATTGCCCTCAGACATGACATCTCCACTGCCTCCAGCCTTCTCCTCGCTGCAACATTCATCACCCACGCTTCACACCCATATAAGAGCGTTGGTAAAACTATACTCTCATACATTCCCCTCTTTGCCTCCAAGGACAAAGTTCTTTGTCTCCACAGACTCCTAAGTGCACCACTCACTCTTTTTCCCTCATCAATTCTATGATTCACCTCATCTTTCATAGACCCATCCGCTGACACGTCCACTCCCAAATATCTGAATACGTTCACCTCCTCCATACTCTCTCCCTCCAATCTGATATTCAATCTTTCATCACCTAATCTTTTTGTTATCCTCATAACCTTACTCTTTCCTGTATTCACCTTTAATTTTCTTCTTTTGCACACCCTACCAAATTCATCCACCAATCTCTGCAACTTCTCTTCAGAATCTCCCAAGAGCACAGTGTCATCAGCAAAGAGCAGCTGTGACAACTCCCACTTTGTGTGTGATTCTTTATCTTTTAACTCCACGCCTCTTGCCAAGACCCTCGCATTTACTTCTCTTACAACCCCATCTATAAATATATTAAACAACCACGGTGACATCACACATCCTTGTCTAAGGCCTACTTTTACTGGGAAAAAATTTCCCTCTTTCCTACATACTCTAACTTGAGCCTCACTATCCTCGTAAAAAACTCTTCACTGCTTTCAGTAACCTACCTCCTACACCATACACTTGCAACATCTGCCACATTGCCCCCCTATCCACCCTGTCATACGTCTTTTCCAAATCCATAAATGCCACAAAGACCTCTTTAGCCTTATCTAAATACTGTTCACTTATATGTTTCACTGTAAACACCTGGTCCACACACCCCCTACCTTTCCTAAAGCCTCCTTGTTCATCTGCTATCCTATTCTCTGTCTTACTCTTAATTCTTTCAATTATAACTCTACCATACACTTTACCAGGTACACTCAACAGACTTATCCCCTATAATTTTTGCACTCTCTTTTATCCCCTTTGCCTTTATACAAAGGAACTATGCATGCTCTCTGCCAATCCCTAGGTACCTTACCCTCTCCATACATTTATTAAATTAATTTGCACCAACCACTCCAAAACTATATCCCCACCTGCTTTTACATTTTATCTTTAAACCCATCAATCACGGCCTGCCTTACACCCCCTTTATTTTACCTATGCCTCACGAACTTCCCCACACTCCGACAACTGGCTCTTCCCTCCAACTCCTACAAGATGTTATTCCTCCTTGCCCTATACCGAAATCACCAGCTTCCTATTTTCATCAACATTTAACAATTCCTCAAAATATTCCCTCCATCTTACCAATACTCTACTCTCCATTTTATAACTCTCCTCTAATATTTTTAACTGACAAACTCCATTTGTTCTCTAGGAGCTTTCTTAACTTGTTAATCTCACTCCAAACTTTTTCTTATTTTCAACAAAAATTTGTTGATAAACATCTCACCGCTCTTCATTGCTCTCTTTTTTACATTGCTTCACCACTCTCTTAACCCCTCCCTCTCCCCTTTTTCTCCATATACTCTTCCCTCCTTGCATCACTTCTACTTTGTAAAAACTTCTCATATGCTAACTTTTTCTCCCTACTATTATTATTATTATTATTATTATTATTATTATTATTATTATTATTATCTGGAACAAGTTTGTGTATGTAGATACAGTGCGTAATGTTTTATTTGACCGTGGGCTTAGTAAAGCGTGGTTCCTCGAGGATGTGACTTATGTGAAGGCTTTTAATCCAAGAACCTAGAGCTACCCTTCCATTCACTGAATAAAATCGGACTAGTATCTCCAACTTCCCAGTCGTTTTATAAATCCTATGAGACTATTGCTTGAATACTGTAATAATAATAATAATAATAATAATAATAATGCACCTTTACTTGTTCTTCATAATATATGAACACCCTACTTAATAATTTTTGCCCCATCTTTGTTATTTAGTGTATGTCTCCATTTAAAAATACAGCCTCTCCTCAGTTAATGACGGAGTTGTGTTCCTAAGACCATGTCGGTAAACGAATTTGTCGCTAAGTGAGGAGCATACTATAATGATAGTGGATTTGTGTCAACTATCTTTGATATTGTTTTAATGTCACCTTTGCACCATTTATAACATTTCTGATGTATGTATTGTTAAATGTTGATATAGTAGTGTACTGTATATTGTAATAGACAGAATAGAGGAAATCAGCTCTCATATACATTATTTAGGCATGCATGCTGGTCAGAGCCCGTTGTACATCCGAGGCGTTGGTAAACGAATACGTCTCTAAGCAAGGAGAGGCTGTAATATAAATGTCTCCCCTAAATTATTTTCTCTTGTATGCATTCTATTTTTAAGAGGTTGGTCATGCTAGAAAGGTAAGATCACCCATAAAAGAAAACACATTCACCATTATTCATTTTCTAAATGCTTTTCCAAAAGTGTGCAGACAAGGACTCCAAGATTCTATGTAAATACAGGGATCCCAATGGATATAAGTCAGTTTGTTTGGCTTTTTTTGGGTTATCCTAGGTAATTTACACTTTGTATGATGGATGTATTTATATGTACTTCTGCCAAAATAAACTTACTTAATGAAATTCAAATATGTCATCAAACTGCAGGGATTCCCATCCATTTAAGATAGTAAGTTGTTTGACAGCAACTAAAAAGGGATGATACTATCATCCTGACACAGTAGTCTGGAACAAAAACCTGTTAAATCTTTTGCATTCTACCTGAATTGCTCATTTTTTCTTGCAGTCTCGTGAATATTTAAGATAATTAATCTCACAAACTTCTACCTACCTTCAGTTTCCTTACATTCATCACTTTTCTTTCTTGTGTTTTTCAATACTTCTTATTCAGGGACTATTTTCTTTCGAGTTCAGGAGACCTGATATAAACCAGGCTGGAGGACTGATGATGCACGGGATCATTAACACATCTAAACCAGGCGGTGGACGGATGATCACGGGAATCATTAACACATATAAACAAGGCGGAAGGACTGATGATGCACGGGATCATTAACACATATAAACCAGGCCGGAGGACTGATGATCCACGGGATCATTAACACATATAAACCAGGCCGGAGGACTGATGATCCACGGGATCATTAACACATATAAACCAGGCCGGAGGACTGATGATCCACGGTGATATTAACACATATAAACCAGCCGGTGACTGATGATCCACGGGATCATTAACACACACAAACCAGGCCGGAGGACTGATGATCCACGGGATCATTAACACACACAAACCAGGCCGGAGGACTGATGATCAACGGGATCATTAACACACACAAACAAGGCCGAGAGGATGATGATTCAACGGGTCATTACCCCCCACAAACCAGGCCGGAGGACTGATGATCAACGGGATCATTAACACACACAAACCAGGCTGGAGGACTGATGATCAACGGGATCATTAACACACACAAACCAGGCCGGAGGACTGATGATCAACGGGATCATTAACACACACAAACAGGCCGGAGGGACTGCGATTCAAGGGATCATTAAACACACACTCAACACAGGCCGGTGGACTGATGATCAACGGGATCATTAACACACACAAACCAGGCTGGAGGACTGATGATCAACGGGATCATTAACACACACAAACCAGGACGGAGGAAGGGATCTAATGATTCAACGGGATCATTAACAACACACCAAACAAGCTGTGAGACTGATGATCAACGGGATCATTAAAACACACACAAACCGGGGCTGGAGGACTGATGATCAACGGGATCATGAACCCACACAAAACCAGGCCGGAGGACTGATGATCAACGGGATCATTATACACTCACAAACAGGCTGGAGGGGACTGTTGATCAAGGGTTCATTAACACACTCAAACCAGGCCGGCAGGACTGTGATCATCGGGATCATTAACCACACAAAAGGCTGGAGGTATGATGATCACGGGATCTTTAACTCACACAAACCAGGCCGGAGGACTGATGATCAACGGGATCATTAACCACTCAATCCAGCGCCGGAGGATGATGATCAACGGGATCACTTACCACACACAAAACCAGGCCGGGAGGACTGATGATCCAAGGGATCAATTAACACACAACAACCAGGCCGGAGGACTGATGATCAACGGGGATCATTAACACACATCATACCAGTGGAAGATCTGAATGATCAACGGCGATCATTAACACCCCCCCCCCCCCCACACACAAACCAGGGCTGGAGGACTGATGATCAACGGGTATCATTAACTACAAACAAACCAGCTGGAGGGACTGATGATCAACGGGATCATGACAAACAACAAACCAAGGCCGGAGACTGATGATCAACGGGATCATTAACACACACAAACCAGGCCGGAGGACTGATGATCAACGGGATCATTAACACACACAAACCAGGCCGGAGGACTGATGATCAACGGGATCATTAACACACACAAACCAGAGGCCAGGAGGACTGATGATCAAAGGCGATCATAACAACACAAACCAGGCTGGAGGACTGATGATCAACGGGATCATTATAACCACACACAAAACCAGGCTGAGGTCTGATGAATCAACGGGATTTCCTTACACACACAAACCAGGCGGAGGACTCTGATGTATCAAAGGGATACATTAACACACACAAACCAGGTGGAGGAATGATGATCAACGGGGTAATCATTAACAACACAAACCAGGGCCGGGAGGGACTGATGATCAACGGGATCATTAACACACACAAACCAGGCTGGAGGACTGATGATCAACGGGATCATTAACACACACAAACCAGGCTGGAGGACTGATGATCAACGGGATCATTAACACACACAAACCAGGCCGGAGGATTGGATGATCCACAGGGATCATTAACACAACTAACACGGCTGGAGGACTGATGATCAACGGGATCATTAACACACACAAACCAGGCTGGAGGACTGATGATCAACGGGATCATTAACACACACAAACCAGGCTGGAGGACTGATGATCAACGGGATCATTAACACAAAATCTGGCTACCCAAGTTTGAGCCTCTCGTCCACCTTTCTGTGTATTCATGGACAGTTGTTCATTACAACTTAAACTGAGTTCACATAACATTACCTTAATCAGGCATCTTCTCACATTTTAACCCGTAAACTGTCCAAGCAGATCTACGTTCACATGTGTAGCGCTACAAAAGTAGATCTAAGTTTTTTTTACACATTTTCAAATGTAGAAAAACAAAAAGATCTACTTTTTTTTACATACTTTCAAATGTTGAAAAAACATATATACACCTACCATCCGACTTACGACCGAGTTCAGTTCCGAGAAACCGGTCGTAAGTCGAAATGGTCGTAAGTCGAACTTTACTACTGAATATCAATAAAACATTTTTGTAATGACTTTATCTTATTGTTTTATTTTGGTATTTCATGTTTTACTTTTTTATGCTGTTAGTACTGAATTTTATACTGTAAGGTTTAGGATAAACACTGTGTACAACACAAATACAGTGGACCCCCGGTTAACGATATTTTTTCATTCCAGAAGTATGTTCAGGTGCCAGTACTGACCGAATTTGTTCCCATAAGAAATATTGTGAAGTAGATTAGTCCATTTCAGACCCCCAAACATACACGTACAAATGCACTTACATAAATACACTTACATAATTGGTCGCATTCGGAGGTAATCGTTATGCGGGGGTCCACTGTAGTTGTTTATTTCCCAGAAATTTGGCATAAAAAACACGGTCGTAAGTCGAGTGGTCGTAAGTCGAGCAGGTCGTAAGTTGGATGGTAGGTGTATACGTTTGGACCGTTTACGGGTTAAAAGTTAATTTAGGCAGAACTTAATGTTATAGTTTCCCCTATAACCAGCAACAATTTTTTTTTAACCCTTAAACTATCCAAACAGATCTATGTTCACATGTGTAGTGCTACAAAAGCAAATCTACATTTTTTTTTTACATATTTTCAAATATAACAAAAAGAGCGTAGATCAAAGTTTTTTTTTTACACGTTTTCAAATGTAAAAAGCAAAAATAAAAAGATCTACATTTTTTTACATACTTTCAAATGTTGAAAAAACGTAGATCTACGTTTGGACAGTTTAAGGGTTAAAACACACCAGCCATCTCCCACTGAGGCAGGGTGACCTGAAAGAGAAGAAACACTTTCATCATCACTCACTCCATTGCTGTCTTGCCAGAGATGTGTCTACACTACAGTGCAAACACTGCAACATATCTCCACTCCTCCTTCAGAGTGTAGGCATTGTACTTACCTCCTCCAGGACTCAAGTCCAGCTAACCAGTTTCCCTGAATACCTTCATAAATGTTACCTTGCTCACACTCCAACAGCACATCAACTCAGACAAAAATAATTTACTTCACTCACTCCTAACACACTGATTTATATCTACACATTTATAAATGTTTCTTTTCTTTTTCTGTTGGATTGTGAGCAGGATAATATTTTGTGAAGGGATTCAGGGAAACCGGTTAGCCGGACTTGAGTCCTGGAAATGGGAAGTACAATGCCTGCACTTTAAAGGAGGGGTTTGGGATATTGGCAGTTTGGTGGTAATTCTAAACAATCATATCTGAGCACAGCTGCAAAGACAGTGATTATGTATGAGTGATGGTGAGTGTTGAATGATGATGAAAGTATTTAATTTCTTTTTGGGTCACCCTGCCTCAGTGGGAAATGGCCGAAATGTTAAAAAAAAAAAAAAATTATAAATGTACAAAATAACTCCTGAATCTTATTGTACATTGTTAACTTCAAGGCTTTATTAAAATTCTGTCTTTTTTACACTCCCTTGTTGATAAAGTAATTAATTTTTGAAGGGTTAATTTAGGAAATGTTATTATCTCTTGTAATTTTTATCTTTGTCACAATAATGAAATCTTTACAAACTTAATTTCACACATTTCTTTCATCAGAACTGGATCTGATAAGAAACATATTTGACTTGTTCTCTGCGGGATTTGACACCACTTCTAACATGCTACGCTGGATGTGTTTATACATGGCTGCCTACCCAGATGTTCAGAAGAGTGTGCAGAAAGAGATTGATGATGCAGTTCCCAGAGACAGGTTACCATCACAACAGGAGAAGCCACAGTAGGTAGACATTTAATAGTATACAGTAAGTCCTTGACTTACAAATACAGTGGTACCTTGGGATATGAACAGCTCAAGACTCAAACAATTATGTAAGTGTATATATGTAATTGCTTTTTTAAGTGTATTTTTGGGGGATCTGAAATGGATTAATTTAATTTACATTATTCCTTATTGGAACAAATTTGTTCGGTATTGGCACTCGAGCAGCCTTCTGGAACGAAATAAGTTCGTATCCCGAGGTACCGCTGCATGTTGAGAATCTTCTGTTTTGTGTATAATATCATTATTAGTATATCATTATTGTTCAATCAGTCAATCATTTTAAGAAAAAGAGGATAAATAAGTATACAAGATATGATGTAGGGCAAAATGACAGTAGTTTGTTGGATTATGTATTGGTAGATGAAAGACTGTTGAGTAGACTTCAGGATGTACATGTTTATAGAGGGGCCACAGATTAAAATCAGTTTCACTTTCTGTTGTAGCACACTGAGAGTAAAAGGTAGATGGGATACAAGGAGAATAGAAGCATCAGGGAAGAGAGAGGTGAAGGTTTATAAACTAAAAGAGGAGGCAGTTAAGGTAAGACATAAACAACTATTGAAGGATAGATGGGCTAATGAGAGCATAGGCAATGGGGTCGAAGATGTATGGGTAGGTTTAAAAATGTAGTGTTAGAGTGTTCAGCAGAAGTTTGTGGGTGCGGGAGGGAAGAGGAGCGATTGGTGGAATGATGATGTAAAGAGAGTAGTAAGGGAAAAAAGTTAGATATGAGAAGTTTTTACAAAGTAGAAGTGATGCAGGGAGGGAAGAGTATATGGAGAAAAAGAGAGAGGTTAAGAGAGTGGTGAAGCAATGTAAAAAGAAGCAAATGAGAGAGTGGGTGATATTTTCAACAAAATTTGTTGATAAAAATAAGAAAAAGTTTTGGAGTGAGATTAACAAATTAAGGAAGCCTAGAGAACAAATGGATTTGTCAGTTAAAAATAGGAGAGGAGAGTTATTAAATGGAAATTAGAGGTATTGGGAAAATGGAGGGAATATTTTGAGGAATTGTTAAAAAGTTGATGAAGATAGGGAAGCTGTGATTTCGTGTATAGGGCAAGAGGAATAACAATTTGTAGGAGTGAGGAAGAGCCAGTTGTGAGTGTGGGGGAAGTTCGTGAGGCAGTAGGTAAAATGAAAGGGGGTAAGGCAGCCGGGATTGATGGGATAAAGATAAAAAATGTTAAAAGCAGGTGGGGATATAGTTTTGTAGGTGGTTGGTGCTATTATTTAATAAATGTATGGAAGAGGGTAAGGTACTAGGGATTGGCAGAGAGCAAAGCATAGTTTTCCCTTTTTATAAAGGCAAGGGACAAAAGAGAGTGCAAAAATTATAGGGGGATAAGTCTGTTGAGTATACCTGGTAAAGTGTAAAGGTAGAGTTATTATTGAAAGAATAAGAGTAAGCGGAGAATAGGATAGCAGATGAACAAGGAGGCTTTAAAGGGAAAAGGGAGGGGGTGTTTTGGACCAGGTGTTTCCCGTGAAACATTAAGTGAACAGTATTTGATAAGGCTAAAGAGGTTTTTGTGGCATTTATGGATTTGGAAAAAAGGGGTATGACAGGGTGGATAGGGGGCGTGTGGAGATGTTGCAGGTATATGTATAGGCGGTAGGTTACTTTAAAGCTGTGATAGAGTTTTTTTCCGAGGATAGTGACGGCTACAGGTTACAGTATGTAGCGAAGAGGGAGATTATTTCCCAGTAAAAGTTGGCCTTGGACAAGGATGTGTGATGTCACCGTGGTTCGTTTTAATATTTTTATAGATGGGCTGTAAGAGAAGTAAATGCGGCAGGGTTCTGGCAAGAGGCGTGGTAGTTAAAAGAGAATGAATCACACATAAAGTGGGGAGTTGTCACAGTTGCATCTTTGTGATGACCACTGGGTGATTCTGAAGAGATGTTGCAGAGGTTGGTGGATATGATATGGTGGTAGGGTATGTAATAAGAAGAAAATTAAAAGTGAATACAAGGAAAGATGTAGAGGATAACAAACAGATTAGGGTGATGAAAAATTGGATATTAGGTTTGGAGGGGAGAGAGTCTGGAGGAGGTGAAATGTTATTCAGATATTTGGGAGTGGACGTGTCAGCAGATGGGATCTATGATAGACGCTTAGCTTACGGGGAAGAATTTGTTCCACTTCTACATGGAGATATGGGAAATTAAAACAAGAGTAAGAACTAAGAAAGAAAATAGATTGAAACCCAGAGGGGTGTGTATTATATGCCTTGTTACATGTATGTGTAGTGTGACCTAAGTGTAAGTAGAAGTAGCAAGAAAAAGCACCAGCAATCCTTACTATATGTTAGAAACAATTACAGGCTTTCATTTTACATTCACTTGGCAGGTCGTTTGTACCTCCCTGGGCGGCTGCTCTCTACCATACCTACTTCCTAGCAACAATTAACATAAACACCTGCAAATAATTGCTATTATAGTCTTCAGTTATGTTAATTTGCTGAAGTACTCCAACAGATAATAAAAAATGGGCACATACCGTGATTGGAATGATACACAAAATTAACCCGCACAGAGAAGAGTAGGAGCTTTCTTCATGCACAATTATGTGCACTCATCTCTGTACTATAATTGTTTTCATGTTGAATATTAAATTTTGTTCCATAACTTATGTCAGGATATATTTATATGAACATTGTACATGTACTAGTAGAATTAAAGATTCTTCTTTTCTTCTTTCAGCAACTGGCCATATCCACCATGGATGGGTGGGCCCTGGCCCAAAAGATAAACAAAAGTTCTCTTTTTAATTTAGTAATTTAGTATACAGGAGAAGGGTCACTAGCCCCAGTGCTCCCCATATTTTTTTTTATTATTCATTGCTTATTATATTAGTGTTTCTGAGGTAACTTTTAAACTGCAGGACTGCAGTACTTTGGTGGCTGTGATCATGAAGTTCTTCGCATGTTTCCCCCATTCCATTCAGCGTCAGTCCATTTTGTAACCACAAGATATATAGAGCTTGGGAGGATATGTCTTTCCCAAGGTTAGTGTGCAGTCAGTTTTGTGCTTTCTAAACAATCCACAAATTAAAAATATATTTTAGACAAACAGTTCATTTTCTTTCTGAAGGTATACAAACTGTAGTTTAATGTACAGGCGGCATAAAAGGGAAAGCAGAACCAGAATCCTTCCTTTGTAAGCCATGCGATGTCGTTAAGAGGAGACTAACATGTGGGAGCAAAAGGGCCTAATTTACCCCTTCTCTTGTATAGTTACTGAAGGTAAAAAAGAATCATTAATGAAGGCATTTTTTTTTTTTTGGGGGGGCGGGCACTCTGCCTCTGTGGGAGGATGGCCAGTGCTCTAAAAAAAACTTTATGGTGGGGCCTCACTTATACAGCAGGTTAGGTTCCCAGGCTACTGCTGTGATAAAAAAATCACTGTAAAGTGAAACAGCCTTCTTTCACTTTCAATTGCTCGAAACTGTACCTGCTTTGTAAGAGAGAAGTATCTGTTCGTTAATATATTATTGTAGGCAGCCTGAATAAATGAAAAATAGGTTATAATTGAAAACTGCCTGTATAGGCAAAACACTCTAAAGCAAAGTGTTTGTAAGAGAGAGATCCTGTAATATACAGTGGGACCCCCGGTTTACGATCAGCTCCCAATGGACCAATTATGTAAGTGTATTTATGTAAGCGTGTTTGTGTGTGTATGTTTGGGGGGTCTGTATTGGGACTAATCTATTCGACAATATTCCGTATGGCGAAACTAAAATTTGGTCCGTACTGGCACCTGAACATACGTATGGTATGAAATAATTTCGTAATCCGGGGGGTCCACTGTTATTGTTTGGAATTTAATGGTTTAGAAAAAAACGACAGGTGATGTTAGAGACACTTGTTCTACATTTTGTAAATCTTTATCTACAGAAAAATTTCATCAGCTGTGGCTTATTCAGGCCAGAGAAGAAGCAATATTAAATTTCAGCAGATCTGATTGGTTTACATATAATTTATTCTATTTATCCCTCATTATAGGTATGACCCGTCAAAGATGTTCTGTGATATGTCACGAGGATCCAGCTACTGGCCAAACCCCTCACAAATTTAAAACGAAGTCGCTTTTGGATGCAATGGAAAGTTTGTGCCTAAGAAAGAAGGTTTTTCTTACAATTTGGATAGGTTTATGTTCTTGAATTGAATGTTGACTATTGCTGTAATATTCTGTACTGAGAATAGTTTGCTTTAGCTATTTGACTGTTGCTATTTGCTGTATTATTCTGTAATGAGCCATGGTTGCTTTTGCTAAGTGGCAGTTGCTATTGCTGTAAATATTCTGATACTGAGCATACGTTGCTTTAGCTAATTGACGGTTGCTATTGCTAGTAATATTCTGTTTTGAGCATAGTTACTTTAACTAATTGATGTAGTTATTGACTCTATGTGAGCCTGTGCTGCATATTCTATAAATGAGGCATTATTACTTTTAATCTTATCTCTAGTTTATTAAGTTTGTCTTAATTTAGGGAAATAATATGATTGTGCCTACTGCACAGTTTTTTTTTTTTTTTATTAACAATCGGCGTTCCCAACACCAACGGGCAGGGTGGTCCGAGAAAGGAAAATCTTTCCATTCATCATTCTCTCTTCACTGTCTTGCCAGTGGGAGCCATTACACTTTAGTTATAATAACTGCAACATACCCCCCTCCTTCAGAGTGTAGACACTGATTCCTCATCTCTAGGACTCATGTCAGCCTGCCAGTTTTCCCTGAATCCATTCATTAAATGTTTACTTTGCTCACACTCAGACAGCATGTCATTGTATTAAAACCAGTTGTCTCCTTCGACTCCTCAAATTACGCTCATCACGCTTGCTGAGAAGTCCAAGACCCCTCGCACACAAAATCTCCTTTACCCCCTCCCTACAAACCCGTCCTAGGGCCAACACTACCCCACCTTCCCTCCCCCACTCAGATTTTATACCTCTATTGAAGTCATTTCTG